AAAAATTAATTAAAGAATTAAAAATAATAAAATTAAAAATTTATAGAGTAAAAACGACATTTAACAAAAAAAAAAAACTAATTTTATTATTTTTTATTTTTGTGTCGGATGATGGCTGTCCACAGGACATACCGTTCCTTTCGAAACTTCTCCCTTGCATGGGCTTTATGGGTCGATGTTTTTTTGAGCCGGCAAAGGCTGCTGGACCAAACAACAAATACTTTGTAGAGTCCAACTTCAGCCCAAAATACTATTGTACCGACCAGTCTAGACGTTTTCATATTGGGCCAAACAGGTAAACTACTAAATGGCAATTGCGTGATATTCAAACATAGAAGGGCTATTTATTCAAGTTGCTGATATACAAGGCAGTGTTTCTAGGGTTTCTGAGTTTCTTGGGTTTCCGCAGTTAAAGGAGAGAAGAAGCAGCAGCAGCCGCCGCCATGGTTCTCAAGTACTACCCTTCATCCTTATTCCTTTATCTGTGTCATCGAAATTGGTTCTGGGTCTTGATTCGACTGTCTTCTTACTTGATCATGGAAAAACCTTATTAACATCTAGATTTATCCGCCCGATTAAAATCGTTAGCAACTTCTTTTAGCTGTTCCCATTTCTTCTTCTTTGTTCTTTGCAGAATGAGCTTGGGTTTGTGTTCTAGGATTTTTAGTTAATCTCCAAATCTTGTACTGAGGTTTGGCATATTGTTATATCAGGACCGAACTTTGCCGTTTTAGTGGAGCCAAGATTTACCCGGGAAAAGGCATCAGATTTATCCGTTCTGATTCTCAGGTAATGCATCAATGAAATTTCTCGGAAATTTTTTCTTTCAAGTTGCTGCATTTACTTCTTATTTATTTTGTGACTTTTTTTTTTTTTTTTTTGGGAGGTTGATTGTAAATGGTTGTGCTGATGGTATGTTGGTTTTTTAATAGGTGTTCCTTTTTGCCAATTCCAAATGCAAGAGGTACTTCCACAACCGCTTGAAGCCATCCAAGCTTACATGGACCGCCATGTACAGGAAGCAACACAAGAAGGTATCTAGCTCTTCCTATTTTAAGTTCTGTTTCAGAAGCTTCTCGTTCTAGTGCTGTCTTGTTGAGCTGAATTATTGGTTTGTTTGTGAGAAAAGTGAGAAAAGTTCATGGTTGTCATCTGATTTCAACATGCTTCATCTAGTTAGATGGTAATGTAGGGCAGTGGGTGTATCCGAAATATTTTCCTTTAACCGACCAATTTTTTTTAATAACTTTATTTTCTTATAACCATACTAAATATTAAAAAAAAATTTGGTTAAATCCCCAAACTTCTAAGTCATTTAGCTGAGCTCCTCCTAATTCAATAAAAATAAAGGATTCTATCTTATAATCTCTTCAGTATTCACTTTGTTAACATTGTTGGATAATTTTATCCTATTTATTCATTATTTTTGGCTCTTGGCCTTTATAACACCACTTGTTTGCAAATAACTGGCCCCCTTCCGTTGTTCACTCTGTTCATTTATTGTATTTTACAATTTGAGCCCTTCATATTTTCCTCTGCTTCCCATCCTTCAGGATATTGCCCAAGAAGCTGTGAAGAAGAGGAGAAGGGCCACCAAGAAGCCCTACTCTAGATCCATTGTGGGTGCCACCTTGGAAGTTATCCAGAAGAGAAGAACTGAGAAGTCAGAAGTTCGTGATGCAGCCAGAGAAGCCGCCCTACGGTTTGTAGTTCTTCATTTCATATCTGCTCCGTGTCTTGTGTAACCATATAGCACTTATTTCTTAGGTGTTACTGACTTGATTCGTTCTGTAGTGAAATTAAGGAAAGGATCAAGAAAACCAAGGATGAGAAGAAGGCCAAGAAAGCTGAGGTGGTGGCAAAGCAACAGAAGGCAGGAGGGAAGGGTAATGTTCAAAGGGGTGCCGCTCCTAAGGGCCCCAAGCTTGGTGGTGGTGGTGGAAAGCGCTGAGTTGCTAGTTTCTTGTTAGCTTTTTGCTAGTTGGAGTAATAGTTAGTATCTTATTTTTCCAAGGCTATTCGAGGACTGGTTGGCACCATATATTGGGCAAAATGTTTGTTTTTTTTTTTTTTGGAGTTTCTGCATTTATTCTTATACCATGAGCCTTGTATTCAAGGGTGATCTCTAGTTACGTTTTTATGGGTGTTGAACTTTGCTTCTCACAGGCTTGAAT